GTGATGATGCAAGGTATATAACAATAGATTATTTTGTTTAACCCTAGAATACTAATCATATTTTACAAACGTACATACTAATCATGAGTCATTTTGACTGCACATGAAAAAGTACATAAATTGTAGATCAAAACCAAAGGTATGTCCTGATTTTTGTTTTATATAGGTATATGCTATGTTTATGTAGGTATTAAATGGTTTTACTCTCTTTACTCTTTTTTGGGATCATACTCATGAGTCAATTGAATTTAAAAAAAGAATAACTATAATTAAAAATCTTCTTCTTTTAAACTTAATTATTACACTATAAGAATTAATCAAGGATAAAAAAGAGAAATTGTACTCATTTGGCACAGTTAAAACATATTTCCATCTTGTTTCCCCCATGTTTTTTTGATACTTCAAACATCTGATTTTAGGCATGCGGTTCTTTTCGTATGAGCAAATTGAACATAGTTTTTGCATCAGGCTCATCTTCATAGTAGGCCAAAACCTAATTTTTAAGGAGAGACCTATGTCCAGCAGTGGACTATAAAAGGCTGTTGATGTGATATGTGATGCTCATCTTCTTGTTGACTGCTACCTTCCCCTATATTAGCAGGCACCAAATCTTGTATCTTTTCGCTAAGCCTTTTTAACAGGGTTAAAAAAGAAAGACGTTTCTCCTATTTGCAATGTCCTCATAAATATATTTCAATTTACATACAATACATTTGGTCTTGAGTGTCAACACCAGCTTTCGCCTGATTATAAAATTCTACAAAATTTGGCTTCTTTGTAGGTTCATTTACAGTTCGGTCTGGTCAGTCCTTCTTCAGAACACGATGATAATAAATTAACCACCTCGTTAGGTTTGCGCTAGCATGTCTTGTATTTCTCAGTTTCAGTGCCCTTAGATTCTCCATCGCTATCACTAGTAACACCATCATCGTTAAGATATCTGGCCAGTTTTGCTTCCATAAAGTTTCGGCCGCCGCAACAAATCTCGAAACGGATAAAAGTAAATAAAAACAGGCAAAAACTGAAAACGCCGCTATTTACTAAACTTCAAAAAGTTACACAAAGACTAATCATGAGTCATTTCGACTTTGAAGTACACGGTATTTACAAAATGATGATACTTACCTGCCTACCTATAACCTATAACACTGTTGCTCCCATAAACGTCTAACCAGTGACTGAGTTGAGACCCGCGTGTTCTTTAGAGAAAGATAGCAAGAAATGTGTTCGGTGTGAGTCAAAATGTCTCAGATTAGTATTCTAGGGTTAATTCATTTTGAATTTAACATTAAAATAAATTTAATTAAAATTGAGTTAATCTAGGTGTACATCTTAATTGACGGGCCTCTTGGTCTAGTGGTTAGTGACCATGACTGCTAAGCCGGAGGTCGTGGGTTCGATTCCCACACAGGACAAATAATTGTGTGACGATTAAATGCACGATCATTAATTGTTCTATGTCTGGGTGTAATTTATCTATATTATGTATGTATTTAGAAATATATAAGTATGTTTAGCAGCTGATTACCATAGTACAGGCTCTGCCTATTTGGGATCAGACGGCCTTGTGTGAGATTTGTGAAATTATTATATTATATTATTATTATCTTAACGTGATGGAATTTGATAATTTTCTGCAATGCACTATTATAGTATTAAAATATAATAGAAAAATTCATAGCAGAAGGATCACATACCTAATGGTATGTATGTACATATATACAGATTCATAGTAGTATGTGTATACAGACCTCCTTCAGCTATGTATGGTTGTTTTGAACGTGTTATGGATGAAGTATTAGTTAAAGTAACAAGATCAAAGGAGAAGGTCATCATCTATGGTGACTTTAATATTAACCTTTTGGAAAATTCAAGTATAGTAACCGAGTTCAAGGCACTCCTTCAATCATACAAACTGAAGAACTTGTTCTTGGAGCCTACACGAATCACTGCAACCACAGCCACATGTTTTAGCAATAGATTTACAGATATAATAATTAAGGACAAGAAAATAATCAATCAATTACATTCTGACCACTGTGGTCAATTAGTGGTAATTAATCTATCTGTGATAGGTAGAAAAAAGGATTGTAGTGATACCTAAAACGGCAAAGCGTTGTGAAAACTTTAAGGATAAACTTAAAGCTGCTTTTAATAGTTCAGTATTATGTGTAGAGAATAACCCTAATACTTATTATAATAGCTTTTAGAAACTTTTTCTTCAATATTTCACATCATTGCTACCCCTGGCTTACTCAGAAGTAGGAAAAGATTATTGAGATGAGACGAATTATAATAAAAGTGAACAGTTTCATAATTATGTTAAAGAATATTATATAGCTATATATATATATATAGCTGTTTAGGAAACTTTGTAAATTGGCTAAGTCTCGTTTCATAAGTTCAAAGATTAAAAGTAGCAATCGTAAGATTAAAACCCCTTGGAAAATTATTAACAGTCAAACTGGCAAAAATCAATACCGTGATAAAGAATTTATATTTAAACATAAACAATAAATTTATTACATCAAATGCCGCATTTGAGAATTTTTTACTAACATTCCTGTATCAACTACTAAATCTTTGAAGTCCTCACCATGCCTTGCAAATCAATCAATTTTGAAAGAGAATGTTAGTAGGATTGATAGTGAATTTAAGTTCCAATATGTGTCCGCCTTTGAAATTATTAATTTCATCACTACGGAAATTTTATAAAGATAAAATTTATCTTTCACTGCATTTGAGTGTATAGATGAGGAGATAACTTGATATAACCAAAAACGCAAGACATAAACGACAGTCACGTTTTGACGTGATTCTTTAAATTGATTTAATTTTTTTTTTTAACATAAAAAAACACTTGATTCTAAGTTAAGTTTATCCAACATATTATTGAAAGCCGCGTGCAAATCAGTAAAGTCATTTCTGAAATTAGCGCTCACAAACGCACAGAAAAACAGATAAACAGACAAAAATTCTAAAAACTGTTTTAAGTTCTGTTGCTTTAATAAAGACCCCCTTCACTAGTTTTTCCTTTAGATCCATAATGTACAGACCTGTTACAATTGTATTATATGTAAAGATTTATATCTTATAGACACATTACACACAGACTCAGTCACTGATCGTGTTCATCACACAATTATTTGTCCTGAGTGGGAATCGAACCCACGATATCCGGCTTAGCAGTTAGGGTCACTAGCCACTAGATCAACAGGCCTATCAACATAGTCCGATTATAGTAAGTTTTATAGCATTTAGCCTTTCGTCTTTGGAGATATCGCAAATTGATTTTTTGTTCTCATCCACTCTGATAACTTTTTTATTCAGTAAATTTTAATATTTTACAACAAACATAGATCTCACCTTGTGATTTCTCAACTTAGACAATTAAATTGACTTGACTGATTGTGTTACTTTTTCACACGCACATTCCATTCATACACAATTTGATACCAAGGATTCTAAAAGTAATATTAAAATTTTAAACCAACATTTAAGGTTTTTTTATTTTTACATGGGACCCTAAACATTTTCAAGTTTCAAAGTGTTACCAGCTCTTTTCATTATTAAAAGGTTTTTAAGAAGTTTTATTTACCTTGACCTGTTTAGGTCAAAAGTAATTAAAATTTTACCCCCTTCCCCTTGGAAAAAAAATGGCTAATTAGTAGTTGAATATAATTTGAAAAAAAAACCTCTTAAAATGTCAAACATAATAAACTAATTCTATCAAATGTCTACGTTTTTTGTAATTTTCCTCTAAGTCAGTAAAACCCCACGAAAAGAAAAACAAATATTATAAGCTTATTCGATTATTTTAATTTCCTTTATCAGTTGTGTTACTTTTTTTTTTACCTTTTTTTTTCAAGTAGTTGAAATACTGTCCTATGAAGTGTCGTACTATGGTAATCACTTAACCCTAGATTCATAATCATATCTAAGAGGAACATTATTCATAAACGTTCGTCTCACAGATGACTATACTTAAATGAGGGGTTTATCAGTACTTTTAAATAAAACAAAAGAAATTAAGTATGGTACTGTTTAATATGTTTAATTGGGTTATAAAAAAGTAATGAATTAATCAAAATTAAAGTTCATCGGCACATTCCACACATATGAGGCCGCGATGGTCCATACACATAAACTTTTTACATGACTTGCATTGGAACCTTGTCATACGACGTTTTTTATAAATACAATGACCACAAATCTTTTTTTGGGTCCCACTCGGACCAGGTGTATCAATGGTAGGCGTTTCACCTAAAACTTCGGCGATTTTCCTTTTTAGGCATCTCTTCAAAGTTGGCATTTCGCGCCTTTTGCGTAACCACGGTTCGGTCAACTTTCCTGAAATATTCTTTACAAAACATCGTCTGCTTGTTGGTTTTCGCCCTTGTTTTATACTATTGTGTACGTAAACTACGTATGAGTTTATTATTGCCATATTGAGTATGCCGTAAAAGTAACATAATGGCCATCTTTGCGTTTTTCTGCTACAAGACATACTTCCACACATTTGGTCAAACGTATCTACCGCACCTTTGGTTGAATTGTAAAACTTGATAATGTCTGGCTTACCAGAAGCAGCAAGAGTACCGTCTCTATGCGTGGTAGAAAGCAAGAGAACGTTCTTATTATTTTTAGACTTGTAAGATACTAACGTACATTCTCTGTCGTAGCAAAACATGGATGAACCTATAGGCCTATCTTTGATTTGAAGCAACTCAGGCGGTATTTCTCGTTTATTTGCTCGAAGCGTACCTACTATTGTAAGTTTATATGGTGATTTTAGTAACTGTTGGGCCAAAGGAACAGAAGTAAACCAATTGTCCATTGTGATGTTACGGTTGCTGCCCAACAAACCTTCAGTCAAAGTCTTAACATAGAAAGATCCGAGTGAATCACCATTTGTTTCAGTTTTTCCAAGATATGGCCTAGCGTTTAGCATATAATTTGTTTTGGCATCACAAAGCATTAAAATTTTTAAGCCATATTTATTAGGTTTTGATGGAATTGGAATATACATCTGGAATATACATCCTAAATGGACAACGCCCTCTGAAACCCAATAGTTGCTCGTCTATCGTAATATAACTTCCTGCTTTATAGCTATCCCTGCATATCTGAATAAACACTTCCCACAAGTCTCTAATAGGCGCGAATTTATCTTGAGCTTTGCGTTCATTTCTGGTTGATTTATCATCAAACCGCAAGCAGTTTAGCAAAAAGTCAAATCTCTCACGCGACATCACTGATATATAGCGAGATCCACTAAATGTAGGATCAAACAGTTCTAAGCTCGTGAGATGATTATCTTTTTTTGCAGCTGATAGTAAAAGCAATCCAAGCAAAGCAGTGAGTTCTTCTTCGCATGTCAGAGAAATAGTAGCAATACTCTCTTTATATTTCGAACTTCTCAACTCTATTTCTTCATTAGTATGTGTAAGTATTTTACGAATTAAATCAGCTGTTATAAAAATAGAAAAGCAATCAACTGGCTCTATAATGTCCTTTGCGTTATTAGCTGTTCCTTGAATTATATGCACGATATTTCTAGCTGGAGTTCTAGTATTCAAAGATTCAAAAGGTTTTGAGGACCATTTGTGACCATTTTTTCCTCTAAGATTATGAGTTGATGGAATAATTATACGTCGTGAAGGTGTAGAATGGAAAGATGTACCTGATGTTTCTTCATTCTCTGAATCGGAAGATAAAATGATACCGCTTCGGCGCTGCATTTGCCGTATTCCAATTGGTTGGTCGTCGTCATCACTGTCGGAATCTGTCGGGATCGTTTCCTGTAATTCCACGTGATCTTCGACATCACTCAAGTCCTCATCTCTTTGCTGACTGGTAAAACCATCATCATCAGAATCGGATAAACGATTCAGATAGTCCTCAATTTGTAGATCCTCCATTCTAAAATTAGACGAATTAAAGTATTTTACACGTAATTATACACTTTGAAAAATAATGTAATATTTAACTAAATATAATAACTTATGTATATTAATATCACATACTTACTTTTTATTTATAAAACCAGAACTCGTCACAAACCGATTTTCAAAAATAACGATCAACTTAGTCAATAGTTACACTATTCATAAATATTCGTCTCTCAGACGATCAAATGTCTATAACTTACTTATTAGACGTCACTGCGAGCCAAGGTCACTCGCGACACTACCGGTAAAATGTTCTAGAAAGGTACTTAAGAGCTCAGCTTTCTATCTCTTTCTTTCAAAACAGTACAAACAAATTTGTGTTTCGCGCGTTCCGTGAGACGAATGTTTATGAATCTAGGGTTAATAGTAATATTGTAATCAGAAAAAAGTTTTAAAATAAATTGGTACAACGTTTTTCGGACATGAAGATAAAATAGCCGCCGACGATTATATTGAGAATTTACAATTCATTACATGTTGAAATAGGCAATAAATTAAGGAAAACGAATACACTTATTGGATATTATATATGCAGATGTACATAAGTATAAGATGATTATTTCATGCATCAGACACATTAAAAGTGTCATAAAAATATAACATACGAAAGTTCTACAGCTAGTGAACTTTAGTAATTCTTTATTTTATTTTATTTAAAAGGCACACATTCGGTTGTAATTATCAAATAATTATATAGAGCAATACAAAAACTAATTTGAAAAGTTGATAGCCATAGACAAATTGATAAAATAAAGAAAACATTATGCAGCAATATTATAAAAGAGTATTTTATGTTATCTGTAGACGCTTTTAAAAAGAGTCCACAGATAAAAAAAATGCGTTGCGTAACTAAAAAAATCAAATGCTGATATCTTTTTTAAAAATACAAAACAATTGTTTTGTATTTTTTCACTACAAGACGATGCAATTTGATTCCAAATATTTTTTTGTATGGAGACCCGCAATTGTTCTTTGGTACACACCTTTAGTCTTGATGATAATACTATTGTATGTTGAATATAATTACCACTAAATATCAAATGACATGGCTTGACTAGTAGAATACAGTATATTTTAAAATACAAATTCAAAATGGCCGCCACCACAAAATAGCTGATTTTAACTTTTAGCTTTCCGTACACAGGTAATGGACATCGTTATCGAAATGGATAATGTAAGTAGACGGATCAAAATCTTTTAAAATCGTTGTGTCATTCCTTTCGGAGAATATGGATAATTAGAATAACAGGATGACTGAGAGAAAATGCAATAAGTCTACCTATGTGCAACTTGTTTTATGGTGTGGGGCAAACGAGCAGACGGGTCACCTGATGGTAAGCAACTATCGCCGCCCATAGACACCTGCAACTCAAAAGTCACAAGCGCGATGCTGCCCTTCCCTCACACTTGAGTCATCGGGAGCATTTGGGCTCCGGTAACCTCACTCACTCAGTGAAAGGCAACAAAAGAATTGATGATTATGTTTTCCATAAACAAATAAACAGAGATACCTACAATTATATATTGTTGTTATTCTTCTGTAATGAACGTAATTAAATATCTTTTATTGTATTTCATTTTTAGATATGAGTTTTTTGACATTGAATTAACCTCCCTAGTTATTTGACTAGTTTTTAAAATATTTTTTTGCGTTTTGTTAGTACATAAACATGTTACTTTGTCAATGTGAATTGAAAAATAGACAAAAAGAAAATAAAAGAGATAATACTGTGTCTCGCTGGGTCAGCTTGTTCTCAAAAGTTTAAGCTTTGTGAGCATGAAATGAGCAAACTTACGACCACTGTTTTCACGATATTCAAATTGGACTGTCAAAAGAGTAGTCATGAGTTTATTCATCAACAGCCTTTACTAGTCCACTGCTGGACATAGGCCTCTCCTTAGAAAGGAGGTTTTGGCCTACTATACCACGCTGGCCAGACGGGTTGCCATCAAATTTTTCTTCTCTTTGCAGTGCTATTGTCTTGCGTAATTTACTTCCTTAGACGGCTCTTACGACTTCCACGGGATGAACAGGGGTAGTGACAATGTATTCTTAATCCGTCAACACACAGACCTCAATGACATGACAAGGACATGAGTTTATTACTGGCTACTAAATAAAACGAAATAGTCAATCAAAACTAGCACATAATTTGTCTTTCGTTGTAGATAGTATTGCAATTATTTTGCAATTCAAAGATTAATTTGATTAAAAACCACCCACTAACTTCTTAATTTATTTTTGTGGCTAATATATAATTACTTAGCATATATTACAATATAAGACATGTGCAACCCTTACATGTCCCTCAATGTTCTACCAAGTATAGACAGACTGCCTTCATTCCGCGAGCAAGCAATGCCTTTAATGCGGCCACAAAAAATGTGACTTCGACTTATTTACTACAAGCGCCACGCTAACGAGACACAAAATAAGCAATCTGGGGGCACCGTAGTGTCCCCGCCAAGTCGAACAAAATAGCGGCATGGCCGAATGTCGGTAGCATTCCCCCACAGTAGAATTCCGTACGATATTATGATATGAAAATTACTGAAGTAAACAAGTCGTGCTGTATCAATATCATCAATTCTCGGATTTTTCTTACTGCGTATGCTGCTAAGCTGAGTCTACTTGATAATTTATCAATGTGTGGTTTCCACTGTTATTTAAAAGCAAATTGTTAACATCAAACCAATTAACCACTTTTGAAATGGCGCCGTTTACGTCTTTTAAATTAGTGGGTGCACGTTTTAGTCGTAATAATAGTGACGTATCATATGCAAACAACACAATCTTGTGATTTTCCTTGACAAGATGAGGTAAGTCGTTAATATATACTAATTACAAAAATGGGCCGAGAATATTGCCTTATGGAACATTTCCACTACACAACCTGAAGATCGCTCACCATGAATGAAGCAAGATTTTCGAAACCATAAATTCATATCAATTATATCATCATGAAAATTCATTGCCGTTCGAACTGAACAACAGCCATATAAAGTTTAAACTCAATTAAAGCAAGTTGTTTTGGTTAACTGCCGAGATTTCATCCAAAGTGATTATAACTTGTCATAAATTAAATGAAGTATTTTCCCACGTCTTGGGTTTTTTTAGTAAAACACACATTAATGAATAAACATAAAAGAAATTACACTAAAATTGTAAGTTTTTTTTAATGGAATACGGGGCAAATGAGCACACGGGTCCCCTGATGGAAAGCGACTACCGCCGCCCATGAAGGAGTTCAACTCAGGAGCCACAAGCGCGTTGCCAGCGTTGAGGAAGGAGTACTCTCTTTTCTTGAAGGTTTGAAAGTCGTATCGGTCCGGCAATACCGCAGACGATAACTTGTGCCACAGGTCGGAAGTGCGAGTCAAAAAGTGTCTTGAAGAGCGCACAGTGGTGGAGCGCCAATTATCCAAGTGGTGGGATGAAAAATTTGCCGTATGGAACGATAGCGGAAGGTTGCAGCCTTCTATTCTGTTTTGAGAAGCATAATTTTTTAATCAGATTGGCGCTGTCACTTTAGGCACGTATTTTAAAGGGTATCTCAGTGTGATGAATCTAATCTTAAATCTGTTTTTAAGTAAAGATTTTATTATAAAACGTCACTTGAAACTAGATACGCCGAGAAATATAAGAACATATTTTGACTTTTGACTTTTTGAATGTACCGTTATAGTCTTTTCTATTTTAATATTTATTAAATTTTAAAACAATTTTACATTGCTACACTATTTATATTGTATTGAAATTCACAGAAAATATTTTTATAAGAGAATATTTTTTTAAGTATTATTAGCTACGTGAAATAGAATAATAATATCGATTATGCTAAAAATTAATGTATAAAAAAAATAATATGGTATTGACATCACTGGGAAAGCATAAAGTATGATCCAGTCTTATCTATCTAACAGATTTTAGGTCGTACAGCTTAGAACCCATCAAAGTTTTCCTCAATTCTTAACTTGCGGCATACTGTCAGATTATGTTTATTAATATCAAAATAATACTAGTTTACTTCATACTAACGCCATCTAGTGAATAAAATATGTACTAGGATAATAATGTACCATAGCTGATTAAAATCAATAAAATTGTCTATTCTCAACCATCAACACATTCGTTTTATTACGTACGACAAGGCTCAATGCTCGGGCCTGCATTATTCCTAGTTTATATCAATACTATCTCCGAATTAAGTTTACACGGACAAGTCTCACTATATGCAGATAACACATATATGTTCTAATGTGGTCACAATTTCAGCGTAATTGTACCACAAGCTATTCCAATACAACCTCATAACAATAAATATTTTTAAATCTTCATATAAAGTGTTCTGCGTTAAATATAAACAACTTCCATTTAATGACAATTTATCGATTAATTCTCAAAGAAACTACTCAATAAAATTACCTTGGCTTACCACTGGACAAAAACCTGACAAGAAATGCACTCGTGCAACGCATACCAAGCAACCTTTCATCCCTAGTAAGATCATTACACAACATGGCAAGATGCATTCCACAACAAGCTCGACCGCTCATATACAACGCATTAGTAAAACCTCATTAACTTTATCTTATTGAAATATGGGGCGCAGCGTAGCTAAAACTAATATAAAACCGATCCAAGTACTACAAAATAAAATTATAAAAATCACATACCTTTATGACTACTCAGCACCAACAACGACTAAAATCCAGCAACTCTACACATATAACACATCATCATCATCGTCAACAGCCTATAACAGTCCACTGCTGGACATAGGCCTATTATTAGAAAGGAGGTTTTGGCCTACTATACCACGCTGGCCAGACGGGTTAATATAGGGTTTGTTTCAAGTTTACCTTCTCTTTGCAGTGCTGTTGTCCTGCGTAGTTTGCTCCCTTAGTCGGCTCTTACGACAACCACGGGATGAATAGGGGTGGTAGCATTCCGTATTCTTAATCCGTCA